TTTGGAGAAATTTCCTAGAGTTTCCCTTATCTCCTTTACTCCTTCCTCCTCCTCCTCCAATATGGAGATAAGAATGTGTTGTAGGGGATACCTTGTTTAGTGATACCAAATAAGGAATCTTTTGTATCGAAAACATCTTTCTTTATGATTATCCCTTCAGAAAATTGAGGAAGTCAGCTTCCTTGAAGCCCTATGCACCGATTCTACCGCCTCCTTCCCCTTTAGGGTTAGTGGAGCAGGGACTGCTGAAGACCTTCCTTCATTCTCCCCCACTGGCTGGGTGCTCGTGACTGAAATGCCACCATTTTTCTTGTTTTTCCTTTGAACTAAACACACACAACCCATCTTCCTTAAAATATGCAGATTCAAGGATACCCTGTGAGGCCCATTTGGGTCTTATCAGGACTCTGGCCAAAGAGCCCCCAGTACCTGAGATGGGGGGAGGGGACAGAAGGAGAGAGAGAGGACCCCAGAGACAAACTTGACCATTTGATGAGTTGTTCTGGTTTTGGAACCTAGGGTTGTGTGGCCTGGGAAGTCTAAACACTTACCATGTCCCTAAATTATAACACATTGAGAAATAATGGGAGAAGTAATAGATCCATCCTGTGTGGAGAGCACCATGCTCCATTTCCCACTAACTGTAGCAGAGAGATGTTTCACTGTTCTGAGAGCATTTGAGGTAACAATCTAGATATTTTTGCTTTTACGCTTTGTAAACATTCAGCCACCTTACCTGATAAGATAGCTGATGCAGCCACAGACCTAATATTTATTTCCCAGCATACTGTGAAATCTACCTAGAATTATCATACATTAGACTTTTGGAAGAGCAGTAAAGAAACTGGCTCCAAATAATCATTTCTCACCTTGGCTTGTCAGACTGTTCCCCTTCCATAGCAGTATCTAGAAGGCGCGCTCAGTCTTGCCTTTACTTCCTGAACCCACATTTCAGAGGATATCTTTTTTTTCCCCATTTGTCAGTCACCTCTCACACAGCCAAAGAGCATCCCTGATAAGATTCTATGAGAATGATGCCCTTTTTTGGGCCCCACATTGTTTCTCATTAATATTCTTGTTAAGGTCAAAATGTCTGGCCAGTAGACTCTAGTAGAGCAGAGAACAAGGTGCACCACAAAATGCTGGCCTTCCCTTAACCATGAGATAGTAGCAGGACTGCACATGATGAAATTTTAAGGTATCTTAAGCATGCAGGTATAGTAAATCATGCATTTTACCTGCCTACCCTCAAAGTCAAACTGTAATGAGGATACAATTCATCCTCCTTTAGCACCTTTGCTTTTTCTTTCTTCTTTTTAGAGAAATAGCTACAGAAAGTTATAAGATTCAATTTAAGTTCAATGTGTATAAAAGTAAGCATACAAAAATACTGAAATATGATATAATAGGGAATGTAGAGGTGGTTAATAATCATTTTATTTATATGCTGATTGTTTCCTTTAAAATAGATAATTTGTATCTTAGGCAAAATTGATTTTTCCCTTTTGGAATTGTTGAGAGATGATGTTGTGAATAATGAGATTTTAGGTGAAAGAGTGTGGCTTTTTGAAAAACTTGATTTCTCAACCATTGGACCTTGAAATGGAAGATCAGCCTCTGAGTCATTGGCAGAGTATTTGCTCTTCTCACATTTTGCTTAACATGCAAGTAACTTGCATTTCTCTTTCTTTTCCTTGTCAGTCCTAGTTCCCTATTCCACCAATTCTACCTTCCTAACTTGTTGCAGAACCAGGTTTGATATGACTAGTTGCTACTTTGTTATTGGCTGGCTTATTGGTTTTAGATTAAATAGAATTTTCTGATTTGGCACAAACAAGACCAGTGGTCTCCACTTTTTGATTCTAGCCAGGTATCTGATTTTATTTTTTGTAAAATGTCTCATGGATGGGCCATTTTTAAAAGACCTCATTAGACCTTTAGTTCATGAAGTGGAGATGTTACTTGAGTAATGATGGTAATGATACTCTGGATATAATGGTTCATATCACTGCTTCTTAACCATAGCTGAGATGTAGTATGACATCTACATGAAAGCTAAAGAGAGGTGTGGAGCTAGGAAAACCACATTCCTTTTTCAGAGTTGATAGCAAAGTGACCCGGAGTTGGTTGCCCCAATGCTTCTGCCAGGCCTCTGATACTAGTGTGGGCAGCAGGGGCATAGGCCGAGTCTGGGTGGTCTGCAGTGTTAGCTGGGAGCGTCATGCCCATTCTGCCCCCTTTTAAAGGCCTCTGTATCTGTCTTTTCCTCGTGAGTATTGGAGGCATAACATAAATGCCCTGATTATCTAGTCCTTAAAGTAATTCAAAATAGTGAATTTGGGAGTCTGTAGTATGGGGGCGGGGGGGCTATTGGACATATAGCACTGTGATAGTACTGACCCAAGTAATTTGGTTGCATTTCCCAGGGGGTGGTATCAATTAGCTTTCCTTTGGAAGGAGAAAGTACATTATTGGTTTTTTAATAGACATCTGGAATTTTGAGTGACTGACTTATTTTTTATCAGCTATTGACCCCAAAAACATGGTTAAGTGGTTAAACTGTGCTTTCTTCAACTATAGTACTCAAAAAAATCTGGCAGTGGTATGTTTATGCAAGTGTTTTGATTTCAGAAGGGGAAAAGTCTTTATTTAACTGTATATAATGTGTATATAATAATGTAATTTTAAGGCATCTGCTTCAAAATAGAAACTAGGATGTTGAAGAAAATAACAATAAACAAAAATTAAACCAAACCAGGCTCATTGCCCAGGAAAAACTAGCCAGACTCTAAGAACAGAGCAAGGAAAAAACTAATAGGGGAAAAAAGACAGAAATGGACAGCAACTGCCCCCATTAAAATGCCTGCTCTGCAGCATGGCCGCTGTTGAGGAATTCTGTGGGGACATCTGTCATTGTGGGTGGGGTTCCTGCCTGCCTCATTTCGATGACAAACTTCCAATGGAATTTGCCTTCCTAAACTGTGCCTTCTACACATGCCAATAATACACAGTTATCTTACATTGTGTTCGAGCCTTAAAAATGCTGTAAACTACTTGGAAACAAATGGACCAGAAATAAAAATAGGAGTTTATAACTTTAACTAAAGTTAGAAGGAAAACCTTCGTGTTTCCCAGGATACTTAACTGTCGTATGATTTACATAAACAGAGGAGGAAATCCTCTTTGTGTGTTTATGGGTGTGTGTCTAATACAGGAACCCATGTTTTCCTGTTATTTAAAAGCATTCTTTAATCTTTTAAGCACATTTTAGGACCTGCATATATTCCAGGTGTGCTGTTTTCTTTAACATTAAAATATAAGAGCAAAGTATGACTACCAGAGAAACCTATTTGGTCTCCCATTTGTGTCATAGGAGGCACAAAAAAATAAATGAATCAAATTAAATAGAGTCCCGGGAAGACTGACAATATTGCCTCAATTCAGTTAGGGAAATGGTTATTCCTAATGGGACTTAACAGGCTTGGAACCTGTTAAAGAGAGGCCACTTGTGAATAGAAGACTATAAAATTTCCTCTGATCGTGGATATTAAGGGAATGATGACTTTTTAACCATGAAAGTAAATGTAATTGGTGTGAAATGTTCAGAAGCTTTTAGCCAAATATAACTGAAATAACTTGTAATAAACCAAACCATTATTTGATGTTAAAAATAATCTTTGCTAAGTTCTGGTTAGGAACAAAGGGAGAAGATAATACTGAGGTCATGAAGACAGTTTTCAGTGGCAGGAAAATAGGTTGTCACCAGATCTAAAGGCAGAGCAGCCACCTTTTATTGCCCTCTCGGGGTCTCTGCTTTTCTACTTTCGTGACCCCCGGATGCTGAAACTGCAATAGACCATGGGATACATGAACCACACATAGGGTCTTCTTACCACCACCTGTGACTGGAGCAGGTGCTTTCTGTCCTTCATCCCTCAAGAAATCTTTTTGCCTCTTGTTGAGCATGTGCATAGTTATTTGAAAATATGGAATCCACGGGGTCATTTGAGACAGAGAAAGAATATGCCATGGATGCATCGTCTTCAGCAAGTCAGTGAGTAGGATTGAATTCATTACAAACAGTGGTGATAGTGGTGATTTCCACTTTCCCTACTTCCTTTATAGCTTCATTTCTATTTAAACTTACTAATTCCTATAGCCAGAGCTCATGAGGAGCTTTTAAGGAAGCCCTTTTAAGACCCTTAATTACCTCCCCACCTTTGAGTCTCTAAGTCAGGAAGTAATCAGATGCAAAACTAGTCAGCGTACCTCTCTCCTGGCCCTGAAGCATGACATCAGTCTGAGAGATGATGCTGTCCCTCTTCAGCACAGAAGAAGCTGGGGGAAGAACTCACTGAGTCTGGGAGAAGAAATTGTCCTGGTCCTGCAAATGTGGTGACCGCAGGAATTTGTGTGGGAGATATGCCCAGAATGCCAGGTACAGTCATAATTAGATGCAAACTAGATACAAAGATACAAACTGGACAATTTATAGAGCCTCTTTTTTTAGTGAAGATATTACTTCTTATCACTGAAGACTGAGTTATTTACACTGTACTATAAAATTAGAAATATGCACTGCAGTTCTCTAGGGGAGCCAGTAACCTTCATTTCATTTAAAATTCAGCTTTCCTAATGAACCCTACCTGATGCCTGTCAGCCCTGCGAGCTTCTTTTCTAGCAAGCTGTAATTGTGCACTTGTAGCCTCCATTAAAGGTGCTTGATGTTATTCAGTTAAATTGTTTTTAGTTTGAATGGATGAAGACATAAATGGACCGGCCCTATAATTATAATTATATTGTAAATTGCTTGAGAGTGGAGATTATAACTTCTATTTTTTATGTGTTCACCCTTCACCAAAGGCACGCATTTTCATTCCTATTCTCTCCTCTCCCTCAATGTACATATGCGCACTAGGGGTCATGTAGGAACAACAGTGAATGAGAAAACAAACCACCAACCTGCAGAAGCACTAATCTGAGTGATCTCTTCTTGGCAGTGACAAACAAGAAACCCACACAGGCGTCCATCACAAAGGTCAAACAGTTTGAAGGCTCCACGTCTTTTGTTCGGAGATCACAGTGGATGCTCGAGCAGCTTCGCCAGGTTAATGGTATTGATCCTAATCGGGTGAGTGAATTGCTCAGTGCTGAGCAAAGGCATTGTCTTCACAAGATGACTCTGATTGACCTTGGTAGTGGTGGTGGTGATTTGAATCATCCTTAACAAGGCTATTTCTCTATTTCAGTTCCATGACTGAAAATTTCTGATGCCCGTTCCCTTCTTATGGGAAATTATAAATCTTTTCATAATGATTAATGAAGGAGCCTAAGGGGATGCATATTGAAGAAATGCTACCTCCAGTCATGTTTATCAACAAAGTACAAAGGGCAGAGTTCAGATAATCATATCCATGGTTATCAATATGAAAAAGACCATGTTCATCAAAGCTTCATTTATTTCCTAATGCCACAGTGATGAGGTTTATTTACCAAAAATCAAATAAATGAATGGTACTCTAAAAATTATGTATTAAGATTCCACTGGACTTAATAAGAGACACATTTTATGATATAGCTGTCTATTCAAAGTGCATGCCCTTCTCTCCCACTCCACACAAAACAGCAATAATGAAACATAATAAAGTATGAACTGTTATTATATACAGTATATATATTTAGGGAATACATAGTATATTCCCTAAAATAATAGAAGGGAATCTTCTCCTACCAAAGTGTAGGAGCAAGATTAATATAGGTCACCGCTGAGAACCTGAAGGAATTTTTTTCCATGTAATTGGGAAGACAATATGTGGTCTGAATTCTGGCGTCAGTCAATGTGTATTTAGATTATCTCAACCTCTGTGATACTAACTTCCTAGGGACATCTATAAATACTGTAAGATTTGGGGTTTGCTTGCTAAACAGAAAAATGTGGAGTTTCTATATTCTTGGATCTTATTAAAGATGAGCCTTATGATTGGGATCAGAGTCTTTGTTTTAGCCTTTATGAGTCTTTTGACAGGGGTAAGCAGGAAGCAGCAGTTGTTATAGATTAAGATCAGTAGTTATTTCACTATCTTTTCCAGGATTCTGCAGAGTTTGATTTGTTGTTTGAAAATGCTTTTGACCAGTGGGTAGCCAGCACAGCCTCAGAAAAATGCACCTTCTTCCAGATCCTCCACCACACCTGCCAGAGGTACCTCACGGACAGGAAGCCGGAGTTTATTAACTGCCAATCCAAAATTATGGGAGGTGAGTGGACATTTGTAGGACTTTAGTCATCCTGTTTCCCTAAGTTCACTTTTACATAAAAATTAGGTGTTCAGCAGCATAATTAAAGACAAAAACAAGAGAAGAATCAAAATGCTCAGAGCCAGACAGCATGAGAACCATTCTAAGGAGGTTGTTGTATGTTAAATCTAGACACTGTGCTATGTTTTCACTTTTATAGAGAAGCTGGTCTTTTTAGAAGAGTTACCAACTAGCTAAGATTATTCATACTATGGGAACAAACCAGTCCCTCTATTAGGAAAACCTTTTAGTTTAGTTTCTTTACTACCTTTCTTCTATAATTTCATTGCAGAACACAGTTTTCTGGGTTGCTTTTTCCTATTATTTCTCAAGATGTTTTACAAGAATTAATATAAAAATCCCAACAGATGCTATCTCTTTCTTTCAAGTAACACCTCATTTATTCCTTGAATGGCATGCAGAGCTGAGTTAGGATAAGTGCTATAAGCCAGTGTTAAGGGTGAGTGGCAGCGTTGGCAACATAATGAGAAACAGTTAGAGGGTGCTTAGCACATTTCTTTTAGGTGGCATTTCTTTATAAAAGAATTGAAACTGTGCTAAATTTATAAGAAAAGCCTTGCCAACTCTGTAAGTTGGGGAAGAGCGTTTGTGTCATTGGTCTTTTCACTGAACTGTTTTCTTGGTTTTGGGAGGGTTTTTTGTTTTCATTTCGACAAAACAGCATCCTCCGCCGCCCCCCCGACAACACAGCAGTGGCATCATAACAGACTACAACAACAGAAGACTCCGCGACTAAAGCAGTCCTCCCGCAGCAGCCTCAGCAGCAGCGACGACAAAACAAGACCACCACACCAACCAAATAATTCTACTATTTGAGATAGTATCTCACTCTTGCTCAGGCTGGTCTCGAACTCCTGGCCTCAAGCAATCCTCCCATCTTGGCCTCCCTGAGTGCTAGGATTACAGGTGTGAGCCACCATGCCAGGTCTGTTCTCTTAATTTTGAAAGACTTTTTTTTAAATGCACCATCTTTGCCTTAATCAGATGTTAAGTGAAGATCACATTAAAAATTAAAAATTCTCCATGGGCTGTATAGATCTTTCATATAAACATGGGGGAAAATCCACTATTCTTTCTTAGCAACTAACACACACATTGTCATTTTGCTCTTAGTCTGCTAGCTGTTGTATGGAGAAGTCACTGTTCAGTTCTTCATTATTATCCACCAAAGTGTTGACACTCCTCTTAAATAGGAAGTTCCTTACATCATAAGATCCCCGAAAGGTCTTCCTTAGGCATTGATGCAGACTCCATCATTATAGTTTTTTTTCTATTTAATCCTAGAAAACTACAAGAGGTCATGAGTGGTGCATATTTTCTTCAAAGTGACCACATCCTGTGGTTCAAAAGTGAAAAATATTAGACATAGATGTTTAAAGGACAGGGAATTTCAAACACTGACCTATTTGGAAAATGTAATGAGGTACAGCTCTCTATCATGTCTATGCCCCCAGTGCTCTTCAGATGACTCCTGCTTTGAAAGTCCAGTCTTAACAGACTTGGCACAAGATCGAAAGCACACCAGGCTTAGGACCACAGATGGCCGCAGTTTTAGCAAATAGATAGTTGGCCAGGAAATCCCACATTTCCCTCATCCTTCGTTAGGTGGGGTCTGCTCTGCTAGCCTGGGATCAGGTTTGTTTCTTGATCCTGCTGTGAAACACTTTTTCTCATCCATGTCCATATGGTCAGTAGCTTGCATGCGTAGGCATGTAAGCGCACAGTTTTCTCTAAAAATAATGTAACATTATGAATTTGAAATTTCCGTTGCTTTTGGAGAAAGACTCCCCTCAAACATTCTACTGCTTCATGGTCCATCCTGAGCAAAGTAGCCAGAAACAGACCCCATACCATGGGAGCTACTGCACTTGCTCAGAATGGAAATGTGGATGGAAGCAAAATGGCCACAGGCTCACTGTTCTTGCAAGAGGAACAAGGTACCTCCTTCCTGCTAAGGCTGGGGATAGCTTTGCTCGCTCTGTTCTTCCTTCTCCCCTGAAGGACTGCACTAGGCAGGCCCTCTTCTCTGCTGCCTCTAAAGCTCTCATTTCTTCTCTCAGAACAGGTCCTCTCATTCATTCATTTGCTTACTCGCAGTTCATCATAAGTATCTCCTACATGCTAGTCACTGTGCTATGTCCTAGATATGGAAAATAATTCTATATTTGGTCCCTTAATAGACCCTAATTGCCACTACCCAAACCCCAGGCTGACAGACCCCCTAATGTGTTATTCGTTCACCTTCCTGAATATCCTCAAACCTTCCCACACAGTCTTACCCTGCTGCTTCTGTCAATCATTGATCCAGTCCTTTGGGTGTCATTCATTGCCTTATGAACCCCAAATGATGCAGAGTTGAAATGAGAACCCATATATCCCATATGTTAAATCATTGGTATATGTATTGGATAAAGCTAAAGATTGGTTTCCTGTAGTAAGAAAAAACGAGACCGAGTGCCAGAGTTGGCTTTGCCTCTTGTGATTGTGGGTGTGTTTCTCACCCTCTCTAGACCTCAGTGTTCCCAGGTGAGCCATGTGGAGGTTAGACTAGATGATATCTAAAATCGCTTTCTGCTCTATCATTTTGAAGATCTATAATTCCTAAATTATAGTTTTATTGTGTAGGTTAATTGCTTCTTAACTGAAGAATCAAATAAAAGATTTAGTGCAGTTAAATATTGACAAGTCCTGGATTCCTAAGGAAGGCAAAAAACATTTGAATTAAACATGTTGTAATTTGTTGGCAGCACATATGTCCTTAATGAATGCAGCCTGTCTTGTTTAAACAGTTTCTTATCCTCTATAACAGTTGTGCCAACACACCCTGATAAATTAGCGTGCTGATTAGTCTTCCTTTCTGCCAGTTATCACAGTTGTAAGATTTAAAGATTGAGCGATTCTGGGGTCACTACCTTCTGATCTCTTTAACTTTTAGTTACCTTCTGAATCTTTAGCAGATGAAACCTGTTCCCAATTTCATAATATATTTTGGTCTCTCCTGATAGGATGGGTGGGCCAAAAGTCCTAGACACAGTTGTTTTTCCTGCTGTAAAATAAGATAGTTTTGTGATTTTAGAGAATTAATATTGGCATTGGTGTGCTGCCCTACACCAGGTTCTGTACATATGGTATCTAATTCAATTTTTATAGCAGCCTTTGGAAATACAATTTATTATCTCTGTTTTACAGAGAAGGAGACAGGATCAAAGAGATTATTAAATAGCGTGCCAATGGTCATATAGCTAGTTAGTGATAGAGATAAGATGCCAACACAGGCCCACTCCACTCTAAAAGCATCTTCCTTAGGGCCACTGAGTGGCACATTCTAGGAGACACTACTGATGTTGTCTTTGTTATGAATGGTGCCCCCTGGAGTTTTGCAATGATCGTTGGAACTATTTTGGCTAGCACATTCCTAGGTGTTAAAAAAGGGAGGGGAGAGATGACCAGCAATTATGGATAGTTTTAACTTTTTATAGTTTTGTTGCAGGTATATATTTAAGATAATAACTCTTAATCTATATTTTCATCCTAAGAACAATAGAATCATCAAGGACCTTTAAAATCATCTCGCTTTTTGTTATTTGTTTGTTTGTCCTTGTCCACCAGAACTTCAATAGATTAAATAGATGAAAGTATGGGGAAGATGCAATAGCCCAGGCCACCTGCAGGGTCTCTCAAGTACTCTGTGTCAACCTAAAATAACCAAAATGGTCAGAATCCAGTTTAAAGAGAGTTTATTCAAATGCAAGGGTTGAGGATGAGCCCACCCAGGGAGCACGTATTCTAAAGAATGGAAGTCAATGTTCCAAAGTGTGGAAATTTGGGATGGCTTATATATACAAAGCTTAGGAAATTTTAGCAAAATTTCAGCATCTCTTTGTGTAAGGCTTAATGCATAGTTACAATGATCTGATTAGTATAGATGGTCCTTTTGTCTTGGTAAAGGTATGTTTAACATTCCACACTATAGAAGTAATTGTCATGGGGGTCCTTGTTCAGAGTGCCTTCTGAACTGAGTTAGGTATAGGACAATAAAGGAGGCAGTTAATCTATATCAAAGATCAATTATTGGAAGGGGGAGGTCTGGTCTCTGGTCCTTCCTAGTCATTTACAGAATAAGAACAATGAGGAAGGAAGTTAAACTGTAATCTAAGCAGAATTGCAAAACATGCTCCTTGACTCAGATCACAGTCACATCTCTCGCAAGGCTTGAAGTGTTTTTGGAATTCCAGCAGCTCTTAAATTTTATTTATTTTCACATCTGTATCTGGCCCAATCCTGCTATTAGAAAAACTGAGGCCCAGCAATTTTGAATGACTTTCATCTGAGTCAGAGAACTGGAAACAAATCCACCTGACTTTCACTGAATGATACCTTCTCTGTTATCAGTTCAACATAGGTTTATCATTTAAATACCTGCAATTTCATGCAGTTCTACTCTTATATTACATTTATTGATTATATATATCCCATATGACCACATTTTTCTTTTTCTCTTAAGGAAAGTGAGTTACACAGAAATGAAATGGATTCTTGGGCATGTTTGAAAATCTTTCTCCAAAATGATATTTCCTTATCTCTAGAAGACAGGCAGGGAAGCTTTGATCTTCTGATGCTAGTTCGGGAAAGATCCAAGTAAAGCCTACAGGGGTACTTGAAGGTCCTCACAAACTGCAGGAGGGCAGGCGGCTCTGCTGAAGTGTGGAGGGGAGGAGTCCTTCTCATACTTTGGCAGCATCTCTGCGGAGTCTTCTCTTCTCCAGAAGTTTGGAGGATCAGTAAGCTAGGACAACATCTTCTAGCCTTGGTCATTGTTCACCTCTGCTCTACCTCTCTTTTAGTTCATTTAACATCAGTCGCCTTTCAGAAATAGAAAGCCATTGATTTCGTTGCTAGGTCCTTAAGCTACGTAACAGCTTACACAGATGGAAGGCAGA